AAATGTGCATTGTTAACAAATCGCTGTAACTTTTTTGCTATGGAAAATTTTGTATTTCTATGAAAACATTTTCAAAGCACCTTTTTACGTAGAATTTAATGGTTTAAGTATAATTTTTTTAAAATTAATAATTTAAGAGTTATCAACAGAAAATTGATTTTTTATTTGGGACACCCTCTATATTTTTAATTAACTGAAAAGAATTTAAAATTACCTTTCCAAAAATATAGCACACTTGATATTTTGTTATAATCCCCTTCAAAATACAGAATTTTTAAAAATTCGCCACTTTTAACTAGTAGGCTTTGGACCCCTTATTGATGATATGCCTTTAATGGAACTCGAAAACATATTTTTCCAGCAAAACGATGCACCGCCCCTGAACGCTGAATTTTTGCAACCAATTTCAAGAATAATTGAATAGCTAACCAAGATTTCAGCCGTTGGCCGTCGAGGCCGCCTGACTTAGTTGCCATGGATCTAATCCTATGGATATATTTGCGGAAGAAAAGTTCAAAAACTGCCCCGTCTGTCCATAACAGAAGACGGTCGATATGTCAAACACCTGTAGCAAAATTTCATGTCTTGGTTTGCTATTTATTTGTAATGTTATTAGATATAGTTTAAATGTGTTGATGTTGGTTAAATATATTTTAAATTGTTATAAAATTCTGCATCTCTCACAGCAAATATTATTTTCGTTTTAATTGATGCTCACAGCTAGAACTTTTTTGCATTACAGCCGGTGCCGTTGAAAGCCTACTTATTTAAAGCGGGCGAATTTTTATATACTTTCATATATTGTCTATATCTCGAAGAAGAATCGAACAAAATATCAAGTGTGTTATAGTTTTGCAAAGGTAATTTTAAATTCTTTTCAATAAATTAGAAATATACAGGGTGTATAAAAAATCAAATTTTTCGTTGATAATTCTTAAATTATTAATTTTAAAAAAATTATACTTAAACCATTAAATTCTACGTAAAAAGATGCTTTGGAAATATTTTCATAAAAATACAAAATTTTCCATAGCAAAAAAGTTACAGCGATTTGTTAAAAATGCATATTTTTGAAAAACACCCCGTAACTCCGAAACGGTAACAGATATCGATATGCGGTTTTCACCATCATGTTTTTGACAAAAATTGAGCTCCAGACACCGATATTAGTTTTTGTCTATCTCCTATAGAAAAGGGTGTTTGCATTTAAAAGCGTCGAATTTGACCCACCCTGTACATATTACGCTTAGTTTTTATTTTTATGATTTTAGTCATAGATTTTGTTGTTAAATTTTTTTTTCGAAATAATGGGGTGACTGAAGTGAAAATATTTTTATTATAATTCCGCGGGTTTTTGAGCTACGAACTTTTACGAACAAAAGAAAAAAACATTTAAAAGATCTTTTCAAGAACTTTTAAAACGGGCATATTTATTTTCTTCGAAAAAAGTGTTCTTTGGTCATTATTTTGCGGTAAAATGTTGGACGGCATCAAGGATACTATAGAGATAAGGATAGTTCGATTCCTATCTTCCTGCACTGTCAGTTTTTTTACGTCATCTGGGGACCGATTTGAAGTTGGCGCTAAAGATTTTAGACAGTGACAGTTATTTTTGCATTTGACGGACGAGCGCACAGTACGTTGGAAAATAAATTTAGCGGGACAAAAGCGTTTGGTTAGAAATAAGCCAAAAAATGTGTACTGTAAGAATAAATAATAGACATTCCAATTGATATAAAAATGCACGAATATTCTTTGTATTTCGATACATTTTTATCAACCAAATTTGGTCGTTTTCTGCTCAGCAATGCAGAGATCATACGAAAACAAAATATTTACAAGTGCTTACATTTTATTCCAAAGCCAAATTATGTTGAAGATTGCCAAAGGTATGTACTTTTCTACTGTACGTTTTTATTTGTTAAAATCCTTCGTGCCTTTGTTATATCAAACTTTCACTTCTTTTCAAATATCGAAATATCGATATATTGAATGATGTAGATCTTTTGAGATACCAATAGTTACCAACACAGGTAGCCACAGTCACAGGGAGTTCAAGCTTAACAGGTGAATGCCCAAAAAGTTTCAATTCAATCGGATAGTATAAAAACAAAACAACTCCATCAAAAGGCACTGAGTTTAAAACATTGTCTTAGATACTTATTATATATGAATTTACAATTACCGAGCGTTAAAATTAAAATTAAAATATCTATCTTAATTATTATTTTTAAAATAAAATATAGAGGGTGTCACAAGATTACAAAGTAATTAAAAAATAACTGATTTTTTTTAAAAGAGTTTTTTGTAAGTATTTCACCTGATATCATAATTTTATGTATTTGGCAATAGTTTACAATACGGTTTTTGTGTGTCATGTACGAATAATATCATAGTTTTATTATCTTGTATTTATTTATTAATAAATTAAGTTGTTAATAAATAAATAAATTTAACCATATAGTTGTTATATATTAGACCATTTGCTACGTTCTTAGATTTTAAGTCCCAAACATTGCTCTTGAGATTTTGTCCCGCTAGAATAACCATCCGCCGCACTGTGGAGCGCTGGTTTCTGCGTGACGTAGCTTTCCAGCGGCGATTTGACGCGATCGAACAGTCCTTTAGAATATATACAGTCCTTGGGACGGCATTAGTTTTCGAAAAATAAAAAATACTACGGTAATGAAGAAAAAATGAATCGTTTAGTTATTCTAAAAGGTTCATTTTTGCGTTAGGCATATGAGTTTTGCGATAAAACGCAAGGTTTTCGAGTTATCTATAAAAAATGGCAGAAAAATATGCAGTTTTTAGATGAAAAATCAAAATTTTTATTCGTAAATAACTAGGAAAATATTATTTTTCTGTTCGGCAATTTGAATATACATGTTAAAAATATCGTTTTAGTATATCTTATATTTTGTTTTAGATTCAAGGATACGTTATAGGCATTCCAACCATTATTGTCATTATATTTTACACAGAAATCTTATTAGGCGCTGGACAACTAATGGAAGATAAGGTAAATCTAATAATAATAATCCTTCTTCTTCTTCGTACGTTAAAACCAAGTCCTGTGTTTTCTTCAATGGTTCCCTAAGAACAGTTGGAATGCTGAAGACCAGCTTTCATACCATCTTATAGGTGGTCAAAAAAAGCTTGTTAGGTCTTTTCTCCTTAGCAATTTTTGCTAACCGGTTTGACAACCTGTCCACGTGGTCTCTCCACTCTCATCTACTTAGACGTGCAGGAATTAAATTAAAATAACAAATTTAATTTTTTTACGAAGGAAAGTCAAATATGATTTTAAAAAAATATATAGTTTCTCATATATGTTTCTCAAATGTGGCTCACCTTTATATCCTTTTAATTTTTTTTAGATTTCGTGCCTTGTCATGGCCAGTTAAAAGATGCCCAAATCGTATTTTTAATCACATCTCAATTTTTCAAATGGCACGAGGGTGGCTCATTAACATGTTTAGAAAAAAAAAACGAATAATTCAGTAAACAAAGTTTCACTTGGTATTTCGAGTCAAATTGTCCTTTAGATTAGGTTAGGTTAGGCTTAGGTTACATTTATGGCCATGGCAGTCTAAATTGAAATTTAAAATGCCGTTTTTTTAATTGAAAATGTCAAAAGTTCACATATCACATGTCATTGTTTTTAGAATGTCTTCTTTACATTTACGCTTTTTCCAGTTTCCATATTTAGAGATAGTCTAGTCTCTCCAATATACGACTCACCGCATTCACAAGATACCTGGTCTCTTTCTCTTGTTTTAATGGCTCCGGTCTTATTTTTGTTAGGATGTTTCTTAGAATCGATTTAGATTTGAAGAGAGTTTTATGTTATACTTTTTGGCTGTTCGCCTGATCTTTTCTGACATTTCTTTTACATGTGAGTACCTTCTCAGGTCGGTAAATATATGAAAAATCCTGCATCAATTGATAGATAAACATTTATAATCAAATTATTGAATAGGTACTGTTGATTGTTGCTAGGTTTCTAATCTAATTGTTGATTAAGTGTAACTGTCTTGGTTTTACACATAGATAAAAGACTTATACTATTAAATAGATAGGCAACTTATAATACATTTCAATTTTATTATACAAGGGCGCCTCTGGTAGATGGAGGAAGAAATACTAATGGAAGAGAGGGGTGCGGGGAAGGGGGGTTGTTTTAGTTAATTTAAAATAAATTTAGTCATACAACATGTAAGAACACTTTGTGTGCTTTTAATTAGGTCGAACATATTATAAATAAACCTAATTAAAAGCATACAAAGTGTCCTTATATGTCGGATATTAATTAAAAATATATTAAAAAGACTAGTAATAGTATATATTAAGTTGTTACAGTTATAATTTAATGTTTGGCGGTTTTCAGCAAATAGCAGTCAGTTTTACATAATTTTCCTCCCTTTGAAGTGAATTGGAAACGGCTATATAATTTTGGTGTAGGCAAGATTCCCAGTTTGTTTCCGTTTGAGACCTGAAATAATAAAAACAAATTAAATTAGATGTAATCATCTGCTGATCATGCTAATATAACACAACGCGCGTCCTTAATTCCTTACATGCACCGTAATAAAATTAAATAACTGCTCAGCAGGTGGCATTTATTAGCAGTACTAATTTAAAAAATCTATAACTGTAAGTAGATATGTTTAATTTACTTACCATTGTATCCTTCGGAAACCAGGTGTACAACAATTAAACTCCATGATAAAAAATAATTAAGAGTCTATACAAAACACAAATTGTCCCACCATTTTTAAAAACATTGTCTAAAACAGAATACTGGCAAAACTCTGAAGGAATTTAATTTTACACAATACAAATCGAAACAAATCAAAACGAAATCAAACCGTAAAATCACAACAAAAGCGTCTCTGAGTGACAGTTAAAAATCAAATTTTATTATTGTCAGATATTGACATTTGCATTGTTAATATTGACAGTTTTAATATTTTGCGCCTCTGCATCTTGGAGGAAAACCTATTTTTAATGAACCGTCATTTCCATTTAAGTTTCTCAGCCATGGCTTTACATGAGATCTCACGACATATTGTAGTGGAAAAACTGCCTTGTGTGATTTGGATTTATTTTACAATTTATGTTTTTGATGGGATTTAAGGTGTAATTCCTTAACTTGTAGTCAAAATATAGAAACTAAAAACCGAGATTTTTTTACTGTGACATCTGTAAATTTTTAAAAGTTGTATTTTTCTAGTTTTATCTTTGTATTTCAAAAGAATTTTAACATTTAAGATTGTATTCTTATTTTAGTATGCCTCAATACATAATGCTTTGGTGAATATGTCTTGGTACGCATGGAATAAGGAAAATATGAAAACATATCTTTTAATATGCACTCAAAGCTATAAGCCAGTGCAGAGCATATATGGGTTTAACAATGTGTTAAATCGTGAAGCTTTTCTGATTGTAAGTAGTAAATTTTTAATATTAGATACTGCATTCTTAATTTTTGTAAGGTGTTAGTAAAATATATATTTTTTGGCTTATTCAGATAAAAAACGAGTTTCGGTATGTTTTTATATGACATAAATCAGAATTGATTGACGCATTCAATTAGTTTCCATCACTTATGTCAACCAAACCAAACCAAATCATAAGTACGTGGTACTAAATTATTCGTAAAAAAATGATTTTTTCAAATATACTAATAAGCCACCCTGGTCTCATTTGAAAAAAAAATAGTTATGGCCACAGGAAAAGTTACGAAAAACTTTAGACAATCAAATCTATTTTCCAAAGCTTCTTGATTAAAATTAGGTGTTTTTAAGGCCATGTAAAATACCATGGCCTTTAAAACCCTATATTTATTCGAATTAATGAATTACTGATTGCATTTTTTTAAAGTTTAATGTCAAAATTGGACATAGGTTATGTAATTATAATCATTTAAAAATAAAAAGTTGTATATAGTCATTTCAGGTGAAAGAGAAAGCCACCGAGACTAATTGAATACGTCAATCAATCTCGATTTATATCATATACCAAATCTCTTTTTTTATCTAAAAAATAAAAAAGTTGTTGAGTTGAGCCACTTTTGAAAATCACCCGGTATACAAAGACTCTCACTCTAATTTCATTTAGTTCAGTTGTAATAAATATCTATAAAGGAAAATTAACATTGTTACATGTTATTGTTATTACTAAATAAAAATTATGTTAATTTTTTAACATTGCTTTTCAAATATTCTTTGAAGTAATATTTTCTTTTTTTTTTCTTCTAGTATGTCAAGGCTTACTACGCATTTTTTATGTTTATATATCAAACAAATGTACTGGAGAAATTTAAAAAATATGTCCATTAGAATCTTAATATTATCCTACATATTTGGCTTGTTATATTCGGCTACCTTAAGTAATTTTGAATAATATATATGCTTTAAACTTAATCATAAATAAACTTGCTTAATAGTTTTTGTTGAGTTTTTTTATCTTTATCTAAGATCTATTTACAGTAGACACTCGATTGTAAATTTATGCGAGAGGAGAAGATAATTATACCTTATAGATTTATTGTGTTTCTCTCTCTTGAGGTCATCATATTACATCGTGAACAAATTATACTATTATTTCTAAAACGAAACCAATTGGCCTCTAAATTTGAATATCTATTAAAAAAACTTAAATTTAAAAATCTATGAATATAATAGCTTTACTTCTAAAAAAGCTGCGGTTGCATTAAAACCAACATTTCGTCAACACCGAAGATTAGCAACTTATCATTGATCTATAGTTATGGAAATACCTGTTCCACATAAGTCGTGTTACAATAGCAATCGTTCCAGAGAAATACTGCGATTTTGTAACCGATGTTCTGACTTTCAAAGTGTCGCGATTCTCTGCGGTATTTCTGTTCGCTGTATTAATACCTACCTAGTCTCAACCCTGCCGTTATCTTTTCACCCGTGCAAATTCATAAATAAAAATTCGTAGACAAATTTCTATACAATAATGAACATGCAGATGTATGGGTTTATTTGTATTTATGGCTTTTTATTCGTTTCTGTTTTTGCCAATAATATTTAGATTTATATTCCTCTGATCTCCGTTATTACCATTGCTATTTTAATAAAAAAATACGTTTGTAAGATAATTCACTATATTTTGTATCTTTCGTTATAGGCCAGTCAATCTGGAAGTTCAGGTGGGAAAAATTAGTAACCAACAGATGTCAACGGGAATGTGTAGATAATTATCTCCTATTTAACCCAACAAAAGTCCCATTCGGTCCAAGTGGGGGAAGTTTGAAAAAAACCATCTTTTCTTCCAATATCTCCGTTTGCATAACTTTTTTCGAAAAATCTAAAGATATGTTTTTTTATAGAGAATTAAATTTAGAATATTTTAAGTGTTTTTACACTGGAAAATTTATAAACCGTATAACCGTTTAAAAAAACCAATTAGCTATAATTTTTGCGTTAACAGTATAGTGTTAGTATAGATAAACCAATTTAACTTAAACTTTAAATTATTAAAACAATTAAAAATAATGTTTAAATATTATTTATTAAATAAAATTATTGTTAAAAAAATTATTATTAAATTAAAGTTATTAATCATCCTGAGCGTCACTTTCGTCCTCAACTAAAATACAAAAGTTTGTGCAACTGATTCTGTAGCATTGACCACACTTTGAAGTGAACATTTGAAACATTTAAGAGCCAGTTTTCTACAAGAGAAATTTTTAGAGCACTGACTCTCTTGCAAAATATTAATTTTAGTAGGTCAGGAGGTATCTGTTGATTGAATAGGTGTCGGATTGCCCTTTTGATCTTTCTTCCATTCATATTGTAAAGTATCTAACTTGTTACTAATCCATTCTTCAATCTAAAAATACATCTTATAACATTTCCTATAATAGATATATCTTTACAGTTACCTGAAAGTATGTCCTGAGTAAATGGAGTTTTGCAGAGTTCTCAGTTGGAGGCAAATTAGCTAAATCGAAGGTAGTCTTAAGGGTTTGTCTTGATGCAATCCTATTGTATAGAGTGTAGTTTTGGCAGTGATATAGCTTTAAAAGATAATTTAATCCTGAATGAAACAAGTCATCTTTGTTAGGATTTTTTTCTAAAAGTACGTCAAGGTATTGACAAAGATCGTCATCTTTTTTCAGTTAGACAGGCGCATTTTTTTGTTTCAGTCAGGATTAAATTATCTTTTAAAGCTATATCACTGCCCAAGCTATATTAAACATATGAAGCATCTGAGAATCCCTTAAGACCACCTTTAATTTAGCTAATTTGCCTCCAACTGAGAACTCTGCAAAACCCCATTTACCCAGGACATACTTTCAGGTAGCTGTAAAGATATATCTATTATAGGAAATCTTATAAGTTCATTCAAGATATATAAGATTCAAGAATGGATTGGTAACAAGTTATATCCTTTACAATATCGATGGAAGAAAGATCAAAAAGGCAATCTGACACCTATTCAATCAACAGAAGATGGCGCCTCCTGACCTACTAAAATTATTTTATTGCAATTGCAAAGTGAAAATGAATTCTAAAAAATTGCGTTTGTAGAAAACTCGGTTTTGCATGTTCTTCAAAGTGTGGTCAGTGCTACGGGATCAGTTGCACAAACTTTTGTATTTTAGTTGAGGCTAAAATGACGCTCAGGATGATGTCATAATAGATTTTATTTATTAACTTTAATTTCATAATAATTTTTTAACAATAATTTTATTTAATAAATAATATTTAAACGTTATTTTTAATTGTTTTAATGCTTAAATTTATAGTTGTTTTATCTATTTTAACACTATACTGTTAACGCAAAAATTATAGCGGATTGGTTTTAAAAAACTGGAAAATTTTTTAACCGTATAGTAAAAAATTGCTCTATCTCTATTACTATTTATTTTAGAAGAATGATTAAAGGTTTTTTTAACGTTTTTAATTTAAAAATTAAAAAATGATTAAAGGTAAAATATTCTAAATTTAATTCTTTACAAAAAGCATATATTTAGTTTTTTCGAAAAAAGTTATGCAAATAGAGATATTTGAAAAAAACGAAAAAATCCAAGATGGCGGCCATTCTTTTCAAACTTCCCCACTGGAACCGAATGGGGCTTTTGAGGGGTTAAATAGATCATTATCTACACATTCCCGTTGAGATCGGTTGGTTACTAATTTTTTCCACCTTTACATATAATACTCGGCTACGTTTACTGTTATACATATGTTTGTTTTAGAAAAAATTCAGTTTATACAATAAAAAATTATATAATTTGAATCATTATTTATGATTCTATCCGCCGTATGCTAAAATGTTTATAAACGCGCATTTGCGTAAAAAAGTGTTATCATATTCTGACAAATTATGTATGGCCAAGATAACGGTATCTAAATTTGTGAAATATCTTCTCATTGACAGTATATACCTACAGGGTCCGGCAATAGTGCGTCGGACATCTGTAGCTCCTGGAATAAAAATCTTGCGAATTTTGTTTAAGTGCAAACATAAAGTTTTAGGATGTATTTCAGGAAAATATACTAATTTCTACAGTGACTCACTCTTTTTTTTTAACGGAACACCCTGTATGTTATTGCATTTTTGGCATCTTTTGGAGCTCTTTGCTTTATCCTATGTTTTTCAACCTTTTTTTAAAAAAAAATATTAAACATACAAGAACTGTCCTAAAATTAAAACTATATTTAGGTATTTACTTTAAATGGTCTATACTTACTTTGCTATAAACATCGCAAAACATAATCATACAGGGTGTCTAAATTCTACGCCAAACTTTCTAAAATATAAAATAATTTTCCTTTGTTTTTTTCTAAATGAAACACCCTGTATATTATTTTTTTATTAGATGGAGAATTAAAAAAAAATTGTATTTGTAGTATTTCAAAATTTTCAACGGTTTCGCAGATACTTGCGGTATTATTTTATATGGCTCTTTCAACGGTAAAATACGAGAGAAAAATCATTGGGTGGCTTTGATAAACATTATTGACTGTGGAAAATGCCTTATAAAATATCAACTGCGAATATCTGCGAAACCGTTAAAAATTTTGAAATTCTCTTGAAGTACAAAAAATATTAATTTTTTAATTCTCCATCTATTAAAAAAAATATATAGGATAGTAATTGGCGTTGAATTTTGAACATCCTGTATAATCTCAGATTACTATATTTATAGCACAGTAAGTACAGACCATCAAAAGTAAATACCTAATATAGTTTTGATTTCAGGACAGTTCTTGTATTTTTAATAATTTTTTAGAGAAAGGTTGAAAAATAAATATTTTTTATTTTATTTATTAATATCTCTAAAACTGTTGAATATATTTACTCATATCTTAGGGTTATGTAAAGTGATCAAAAAGAAAGCCAAAAATGCAATTATATTTGAACTGTTCCATTTAAAATAAATTTGAGCGACACTGAAGTTAAAATATTTTAATAATAAATTTCTTAAAGCATATCTAAGAAATTTAAATCTATAAATTTTGAATTTATTAAAATTTATTCTTTATATTGAATATTTAATTTTAACTGATTTATTAGAAAAATAAAAATCTACGCATTGAATATTTCATTAATAATGTTATTAAATAAAATATTTGTTATTAAACTTGCAATCTTATATCGGTAAAGTAATTTTAAAACGTAAATCAAAATCATTTGCTTTTGTACTTACCATCTGAAAACACAAAAACGAAAATGGAGCAGAATTTAAAGTTTGTTGAAACTTTAAAAAAATCTTGCGAATATTTACTAGATCACATATTTATACTGAAATTTGCTGTAGTTGTGGGACTGATTATTATTATTGCAGAACTGTTTTTCTGCTTTACCCATACAGACAAAGACACTGCAACTTTATTTGTAGCTGTTTTAGTGAGAATTTTTGTAAGTAATAAGAAAATTGGAATGTTTTGTTGAAATGAGTATGTTATATACTTAGTTTTGGAGATACAGGGTGTAGAAAAATAAAAATAAATATATAAAATAAAATAAATATTTGAATGAAAATTGGTGTCTGGGAGTTTCTTGACACGACAAATTTGATTTTCATGTCAATATGACTCCTATTTGTAGAGGGCGCCACCTACATATTTTTAACTGTTTTGAAGAGTAATAACTTTTCGTCCGTACCTGTATAAAACAACTGAGTAAAAAACATTTACAACGTTTTTTACGTAAAAAATGTCTCTTAGTAAAAATCGCTACGAGTAATGATTCTCGAGATATTTGGAATCGAAATTATCAAAACCTGTCATTTTTGTCATAAATTAAGCATATTGACTAAATATAGTTATTAGGCTGCAATCATAAATTTGAAATGTTTTTGTGCTAAAAGTTATTTATCATCATTTTTTCTGAGAAAAAT